CCCACCCCCCGCCGCACACACGGGTGGCCGTGGCTCCAACACACAACCTAGGGTTTTATTGTGCAGACAGAGGAACACTCCTGGAGGATAGAGTTTTGTTGTTGTCGTCGTTGCCTTTTTTTTGTGTCGTTGTTGTTGCTTTTTTTTTCCTTTTCTTTTTTTTCCCCTTTTTTTCCCCCCCTTTTTGTCCCCCTGAACAGAATCCGGGTTTATACGACAAAGCTGTGGAAACAACTACAAATGTTCACCCCAAAGAAAAAAAATATAATCAAAAAATAAAAAGAAGTGAGACTTGGAGACGTATCTGTGCTCTGCCTGCTGGGCTCTGCACCTGCCCCAGTGCTCACCAGCAAGCCCAGGGAGCAGCCAGACCTCAGCTTAGATGCGGGCTCAGCAGCACTAGACAGCAAGCAAGCAGGCAGGGACAGGCAGGGAAGGGGCACAGGAGCAGGAGGCAGCTGGTGGTGCCTGGAGAGGAAGGGCAAGGAGAGGGGAGCAGCTGCTGTGAGGGGCTCTCAGCCCCCTGGGTACAGCCCAGGCTGCAGGGGGTGCTCAGAGGGGTTGGGGTTCACCTCGTGGGTGTGGATGCTCCTGCCTGCATCTTCTGCTGCTCTACCCTGGGGTTCTGTGGGGTGTCAGGCAAGGCCCGGGCTGGTGGATGTGGGGCTGTGCTCAGCATCCCTCTCCCAGCTCTTGTTGAACCCTGGGAAGGTCCTGGACTTACTGAGGCAGAGACCAAGGGTTGGGTTGCACTTAGATCCTCTTCTGCTCTTAAATGGGGGGGCAGGGAAATGAGGAGGGAGAAAGGAGGGGGCACTGATGGAAGGCTGCCCTGAGGGAAGGCTGCTGAGCCCAGCCAGGGCCAGGCAGGGGGGATGTGTGCCATGAGGAAGGATCAAGACCCCCAGACGTTTCCTCAACAGACCCCTGCAGAGACCTTGGGATCACACTCCCACTGGGAAGCTCCCTCCCTACCAGCCTGCCTGGATCCAGCTCCGGGGTCCTGCAGGAGAGGAGCAGGGGGGGAGGCAGGGCTGTGGTTAGCTCAGAGGGGCTGTGGTTAGCTCAGAGGGGCTGTGGTTAGCTCAGAGGGGCTGTGGTTAGCTCAGAGGGGCTGTGGGCCGTCCACTGCCAGTGGGTGCTGGCAGCAATTCTCTCGTCACAGCTAAGGGCTGGGCCCTGGGGACAGCAAGTGGTGTCTCTGGCTCGGGCAACCCCAAGGTACCCAGACAATATCTGGAGGAGGCCTCACTTCCAGCTCAGCTGTAAAAAAAACCAAACAAACCAAACAGATTAGGAAAAAACTTGTTGCCAAAGCACCTCTGCAAGGAGCTCCCTGTCCTGGGGCTGCAAAAGAGCCTGAAGGAGGCAGGGACATTTGACAGGTGTCTCCTAGACCTGCTCCACTCTCTCCTCCCACCCTGGCTGGGTCCAGCATCACCCCACACCACCCCTGCTGCCTTCCTGCCCTACTCGCTCTGAGCCAGGACTTGCCCTGTGCTCCCGCCCAGCCGTGGCAGCTCGGGGTGACTCAGGGCAAGAGGAGCAGGCTGAGAAATCATAAGTCCTCTGGGTAGCAGGGTGGGCTGGGGACTCTGGCAGCCCCATCTCCTGCAGGGGCTGCGGGCACAGCACCCAGCAGAGAGACCTCTCCCCACGCTCTCACACCCCCTCCCTCTCTTACCTGCCCACCCAGCTGTCTTCCCCACTCGAGAACAGGCAAACCCCCAAAAATGAAAGGGATGGGAGAAGTGGTCAAGGGGAGGGAGGGAGGGAAGGAAGGGAGGTGTGGTGGAGGCTCCAGTGCTCCCAGTATGAGCAAACCAGCCAGCCTGGCGAGCGGGGAGGTGCGGGGTGGG